TTTATCAGAGAAAATGGATGAGTACTTTCTCACTCTCTAGAGAAATATATATTATCATTTGAGTTTCTTTCAGAGCTATGGCTTGAATGTTTTTATCCCTTGCAAAATTCATGTGTTGGAAACAATGCCCAATGTGACAGTGATGGGAAAGTAATGGCACTTACCACCACCACCCCCCATCTAATAGTTGATCAGAGAAAATGGATGAGTACTTTCTCACTCTCTAGAGAAATATATATTATCATTTGAGTTTCTTTCAGAGCTATTTGGATTAATGGCACTTACCACCACCACCCCCATCTAATAGTTTATCAGAGAAAATGGATGAGTACTTTCTCACTCTCTAGAGAAATATATATTATCATTTGAGTTTCTTTCAGAGCTATGGCTTGAATGTTTTTATCCCTTGCAAAATTCATGTGTTGGAAACAATGCCCAATGTGACAGTGATGGGAAGTGGGGCTTCATGAGAGATATGCAGGTGATGAGGTCTCTACTCTCATGGACAGATCAATGCTTTAATAAATAGGACTTTCTAGAGTGAGTTTTCTCTTCTGCCCTCCTGCCATATGAAGAGCAGTATTTCCTCAGAGGATACAACATTCTAGGCACCATCCTACAAAGTGAGACTAGGTGCTTAACAGATTCCAAAAGTTCTTGGACGTTTTAGCTTCCAGAATGCTGAGAAATACATTTCTGTTCTTTAAAAATTACGCAGTCTGAAGTGTTCTTTTATAGCAGCATAAAACAGAATAAAACATCCAGTTTTACAGGCTATGGGTGACATTTAATCAAAAAAGTCTAGTCACAAGTCATTCACGGGAGTACAGCAGTAATGCGACACTCCTCGATGCTGAAGCCAAATGGGTAGGTACTGAATTCGTGTCATGGGTGTCCTTGTGCTTACTGAGTGCACTTGTGCATACCTACGATCCTGACTGGTAGAGACTTCTGGTAGGATTCTGGCATGATAACTGTTAGAAGTGCCTGTCTCTCTTTTTTTTCTTTCTCTTTCTTACGGAAAAATAAATAAATACACTAAAAATATTCTAGATGCATCAAGAAATAAAGTTGTACAAGAGGATTGCAAAAAATTAAAGAAAATATAAAATTAAAATATGAACTTACTTTGTTATTTTATATCTGTGTATATATATATATATTGATATAGGACACATGTGTTCACCAGCAAGAGAGAGAGAGAGAAATTGAAAAATCACCCTCCAAGGGTGATGGCAACACCACAATCCCCTCTCCTCCATTCTCCTCTCAGGATTTTGAGCATACATGCATATGTGCTCTGTTTCTCAAGCTGCTGTGTCTGGGACTCAAACCATGAAGTCAGCCACATGGGATCAAGCCACCTTAACTACCACACCACTGGCTATTCCATAAAATATGAGTTTATTTTGGCACAAAAATATTCTGTAATTTATGCAAAGTTTTTTTTTCATAACATTAGTTTTCTATGAACTTTTTGAAAATGCTTTGTATCTCCATACTGTGTCTCCATTGTCAAAGGAACCCGATGACACCAACATATATATGTATAATAAAAATTTTATCCATATGTAAGAGTAGACTGACAATGATCATAAAATTATTTAAATTTATATGTTTGAGAAAATAAAACAAAAAATATTTAATTTCACCAGCAATTTACATGTCTATAAAAGGATGAAATGACTATTAACCAAAGCAGGATTTGGATCACGTTCTCTTTGAGTGGATATTTCTGCTCTGCTAGAACTCTTTTTCCCTAAGCAAATCATTAACTACATGCTGGTGTTTTCTACCAAGATATTCCCAGCATATGTTACAGTTAATAATAAAACCTAGGCCAAAAATACAGAAAGTTTTTTTATAAACTGACTGGAACATTCAAGGTGACATTTGTTCACCAATGTTTAGACAAATTAGCGGATTCCAGATTTTTGAAGGATAGACCATATGACAGTAAAGATCTAAGAGAAAGGGAGCAATATGGGAAAAATATGGAACATATTTTTTAAATTTAGTTATTTAGCAAGCAGATCTGGGTATAAATATGTGAATCCCAGAATAGAGACGGGGGGAGATACTTTTACTTGGTGTGAGAAAATTTGCTGTTTTATGTGATTTTAGATGTAAATACTACAAAGTTATCAGTCACTGGTAGGAGCATAAAATAGTGCACTAGTAATTTATAATAAATAAACAGATATTTTTATAACAGTGCATAGTAGGGGTGCATTCAACACAGTGTTAAGAAATATGAAGGGTCTGGTCTGAGACTTTACCATATTTATATGCAGAAAAGTGAGCCTGCCTCAGTATTTTGGATGCTGACAGAAGATACAAATCTCTTGAGTTAGAGACAAAGGACTTGTTCACTCACATCATAGCCACCAGCATGAGCATTCATCTATATTGGTTCCCTTGCATTCAATGGTGAATGGGCATGATGTGAAGGAGCCTGGGTGCAAGCTAGGCATACATGAGTGATGCCACTAAGGAGCCTTAAGTTCAGGGAGTTTGGCTCTTTTATAGTTGCAAGTGAACATGTACGAATTCTCTCACAGGAAGTGTCATGATCCCTGTTATGATATGTAGCAATTAGATGTGTCCTTTGTTCCTAAAGGAGCCAAGTTTAATTATTATACCAAAATTCTAGAAGAGATGGGAACAAAACGGAAGTTAATACCTCTGCTTGCAAGACAAAAAAAAAAAAAAATTCAAGAGATACTTGGAACATTGTCTATCAGCTGGGCACATCTAGGGCGCATGTAAATGTCTATTAACTCATATGGTACAATGTCCATTCACCCAAGATCAAGGGGCTTGTATTTTCTGACTCTTAACCCATTGTGTTTTTATCTTGGTTGTCATCCAGAGAACTATTTTTGCATCCCAAAGTAAGTGTGAGTATATTCCTTCCTTCCCTTCTCTCCCTCATTCTGTCTCCCACTTGTTTCACTGGCACATACTCTGATAAAATTTTTTTCAATATATATTTTCTGCTATGCAACCATCCTCTCTTTCCACTCTCACTGTAGCTGATTTAAGTATTCATTTGTATGCTTTAAAAAATTGTTAAAAATTGGGCCAGCAGATGGCATGAAGGTTAAGGCATTGGATCTCACATGACTGACTATAATTTGAGCCCTGGACCAGAGGGCTTGAAAATCATATCAGGTGCTTGTACGTGCATGTCTTAAATCCTGAGAGAAGACTGTAGGAAAAGACATTGTGATAGGGACATCAGCCCGGGGGGTATGATTTCTCACTCGCCTTCTGTTTCTCTCTGGTGAGGGCACATATCCTTTAGACAAAACTAAAGAAGAAAATAGTTGTTGAAAATTGACATATAAACCAGGAACTTTAAAGAAATGTATATAAACTTTGAAGGAATACCTTAAGTGTGAGCACTATAAATGTTGTCCTATCACTGAACTAAGATTTTTTTCTAATATAATCATTAGTAAAATACACAAATTCCAGAAATAATAATCTTGGATAAAATACTTTTAGTTATTAACATGGGTTTCAAAAAATAAAATTCTTCTGTTTTCCTAAAGTAGTTTTGGAGTTAGTCCTATGTTTGCATTGCTTAAATACAATGCATGCTTAAATCTAGTCAAATTTTCATATTAGTTATTAAATTATAATTATTTCAAAATGTAAAATAAAATACGTATTAGAATGGAAAAAAATCTAGTAGAAATATGAGTATGGGTATCTTGGTAGGGCTTGAATCCACTAAGATAGTAAATTAAATGATCAGCCTGACTCTATAATTATTTGAAATATGCAAAAATATAAACTGGTATTTTTACATCTATTATACGTTTAACTATACTAAATAAATTTGGATTGTAAGATGAGATGTTGAAATGTAAGTCAATGTAGAATATTCAATTAAACAGAACTTGTCATACACAAACATGTACAAGATAAGATCCCATGAGTAGAGTGGACCATCTGGCTAGTCGAAATGGGAAAGATAAGTTTTGAATGATCATATGAATTTTAGTATAGCTATATGCACACTTTGGTATCACTGTAATGATCATTTAAAGTCACTTAGGGATAATGAGGAAAAATGCTTTTAGCAGGTTGTCATCTAGTGACTGGAATTTGAAAATACTTTTTCTAGATGTGTACAGAGAGGGAACTAAATGTTTACTTCAAGATGTATGTGCTATTGTTTCCTTCCTGTGATTCCGAGGCAAGTTTGAAAACCCTCATAAAAGTACATTCAGATAAACTTGATCAAAGGTAGTTTTAGGAAAGGAGAAAGTTGATGCTAATCAGAAAATTACACACACTGAAAAGCTTAATGCTTTTCTAAAGTACAAAGAATGTATATACTGTTATACACAACCTGGAGGAATCTACCAAATAGGGCATCTAACTAACAATGAATCTTCCATAGTTATAAAATAATGGGGTTCTTTTTCCCCACATGACACCAAAGGTTAAACAAAAACAATTCAAACACTTCCACAATACTCCACAATTATGTACACTTTTCTACCCGTATTTTGGAAAGTGTTTGTAATAACAAGAGGAAATAGTATTTGTAAAGCACGACTTGATAGCCTTACTAATACAAGATGATCTCAAACATTCCATTTCCATTCATAACTGTCCCTAGGACATATTTTTCATTTTTCTAATTTAAATATTTTCTACCTCCTAGCAGTTGCACAGCTCTCATAAACTCACTTGTCAGCTAAGATTTCTCTTAAAATGTACCCAAGAGCATATTATTACATGCACATTTCTTATTTAAAGGAATGCTTCTGAATAAATTCAATGAAAGTTATTTGTACATATGGCTCAATTTTAAATACAATCTATTCACAGTTCATAACATATTAACATCAAACTGACTTTGAATGCTGATTTGCAAGCTGTTTATGAGTGTATGAGAATAAAGCAGAAGGGATCAGACCTATTCCATATCGAGTCAAAGTAAAAACTGTACAGACCAAACATATATGTGTACTCATGTTCACCTTCATTGTCCTTAAGAGTGAAGTTTGGGTTTATAGGCAGATGTTCATCAAGAAAGAAGTTAAACCTTGGCCCGTTGGCAAAATCATCTTTATCAGTGGCACTGATGGTGTGAATAACCTAAAAAAAAAACAAATACTGAATAGTAAATTTAATCTGGCTTATTTTTCAAATTTTAATTCTACTATATTATTTTTACTTGTTAAAACAAGAATTTTTAAGAGATCTCTTTAGTCAATTCAAGTATTTTCAGATTCATAAAAGTACTTATTAACTGGTTCTCTCTTGCACTAGATTTTTAAAAAACATGGCACAATTTATAAGCATTCACACTTCATTTTTTAGCATGGTACAAGCATTTATAATTTTTTTTTCTTTATCACCCACAATAACTTGTGGTCAATTAATTGTAAGATTTTTATATACACACACACACAAATAATACTTTATATCTGCCATGAAAGGTGTTTATACACACACACACACACACGTACACACACATATTTGATGTAGAACAGCCTTCAGTGTACGTTGGTCTCAGTAAATGCAAAAGCAATTAAGTCTTTTTTTTTTTTTTTTACTATTTCAAGAGAACTTTGAGATTGTCATCCACCCCTTGCATTTTATACATGAGGAATTTGAGTTCAAAAGGGACTGTGATGTGCTCTAAATTCCTAAAACTAATGACAGGGGCAATACCCAGACCACATAGTTCTTTCTTAATGACTTCTCATCTCCAGTATCAAGAGAAAACAATTGGACTTAATGCACATTAAGAAGCTGACTAAATTAGAATTTATTAATAAAATATTCTAAGTGGCTCAAAAGCAGACACAAATTATAATAGTTGTGGTCATAATACTCTAAAAATTATATCCAAAAAAGATAAGCAAGACGATAATTTCCTCTTTTAAAAATTAGAATCCTAGGGTCAGCAGGTGGCATAGTGGTTGGGGTGGATGGATCCCACATGGCTGACGGTGTGATTTGAGTATTGAACCCAGTGGCTTGGGAAACGCATTGGGTGTGTGTGCATGTGTGTTCAAAATCCTAAGAGGAGAATGGAGACAAAAGGATTGTGGTGTGGCTATCCCCCTTTTTTTGTGGGAGAGTTCTCTCTCTCTCTTTCTCTCTTTGTCTCTCACTGGTGAGTAAATGCACTCTATAGCAAAATATGAAAAAAAAAGTGTCCTAATATTTAGATGTCATATTTTCAGCCTTTCCTTAGAACAAGCAAAAACAGAAAGAATATAGTCAGACAAATAGCATTTCCTGTTTTTGAAATGTAATGTGTCCATTTAAAAAATGGGTATATTTCTAAGAACATTTTATGCAATTTTTAATATTCTACAAGGAAAATAATTTACTAAGGGGCCTCACAGTTAAAATATAAATTCTTCTCCATATGCTGATCCTATTCGTTGGTCAGGGTGATAAAAGTACTGAGGAAAATGTAGTAGATGGAAGACAACCAGGAAACCACGTGTTTCCAAAAAGCGACAGTAAAACTAGTGCTTCAGTATATCCAAGGGATCGACTTCCTCCATATGATCCCAGTTCCGTCATAGCCTTTCAGTCTCTGTTCAAAGTGCACTCTGTCTCCAGGCAGTGTCACAACAGTCACGCAACTGGACCCACATGGCAAAGGTCCTGGGCTTGCTCCCTGGAACCTTCCTGCAGATGCTGTGATCCCAGCTAGCCGAGACTTGGGAGGGAACACTGTGTGAGGTCTCCATTGGGGGTTCCTATCTCTTTCAAAATAAATGCAAGTCTTATTTTATTATTATTATTATTTAAATTTTTCCAGAGGATGCATGAGTTCTCCAGGAAGAAACAGAGAGAGGGAGAAGAGAGAGAAAGTGAGAAGCCCACATGAGTATGGTCTTGCCACTGTTCCTTCTTCATTTCTTCATTTCTTCCTCCTTTCAGGATATTGAGCATCATCCAACACACACCTGCCACTAATCCTCAGATCCAGAAACTGAACTGATCGATTTGTCATGTGGAATTCAGACATTTTACCCACCAGACCATGGGTCGACACTCAATTTCCCAACTTTTTTATTTTTTTTAAAGAGAGATTTTTGCTAAAGGGGATGTTCACTCACCAGAGAGACAGAGACAGAAAGCAAGAAATCCCCCCCCCCCCCAACAGAGAGAGCAAAAAAAACCCCCCCCCCCCCAGGGTGATGCTCACACTGCAATCTCTTCTCCTCCAGTATCTTCTTGGGATTTTGGGCACACATGTACATGCACCTGGAATGAATTTTAAGTCATTGGGTCCAGAATTCGAACCACGGTTGACTATGTGGGAGTCCAGCAACAAACCATAATGCCATCTGCTGATCGCTCCATTTTTTTAATGTGCTTTCTGAGCAAGTCATTTTGTGTATCCTTTACCCCTGCTCTCTAGAGAAGTGTCTATCCCTCTTCTCTACTTTGTTTCCCCTCATATTATTTATTTATTAGCTGAACACTTCATATTTATTTATTGTTTTCTCCTTTTATTTCATGTAAAACAAGTCTGCATGTATCTTCTGTTTTTCTCTGTTTTGGACTTTTGATTCTGGTCAGGATAATTCCTTGATGAGGAATCAGAAGCAATCAGTAAGTTTTCTTAAGTGCCCATAAAGCTTTGAAATAAAGTTCAAATGCTGACAAAACTTAAGAACAGGGATCCAGCAGTTAGCATAATGGCTATGTCGCTGGACTCCCACATAGTCAACAGCAGTTCACGTCCCGGAGGGACCCGGTGGCTTAAAACTCACACTGGGCACGTGTGCATGAGTGCCCAAGATCCCGAGAGGAGAATGGAGGAGAAGGGATTGCGGCGTGACCATCCCCCCTGGGGGATGATTTCTCGCTTTCTGTCTCTATGTCTCTCTCTGTCTGTCTGGAGAGCACACGCGCCCTATAGCGAAAAACCTCTCCAAAAAAAGAAAAAAAACTTAAGAACACACCTATATTCTCTAAATATTAGTTACTTAATTGAAGTTAATACCAAATTTTCAAGTTTGTTTTCAGGGTTAAATAAATATAATCATTTAAAGCAGTCATCACGTGCTTCCCTAGCCCCCAATATTATCCCCCCCACACACACACAATTAGTCCTTTTATTCTTTAGTAAAATAAATGCTCTCTCATTCCTACTTCTCATTTATTACAATTTTCATTTGTGTTCCTATTTTTCTCCATCTCATTTTATCTTCCTGACACAATTTGCAAGTTTACTTTTAATCTCAGAATATAATTTTGAAAGGAATTGATGGAAATTTAATTCATTCTAATCAACTGAACAATTTTATGTTTCCTATGATAATCTGGGTGTAATTATTATTTTCTTTCTCGTTCATTTCAAAGTTAGTTTATAAATTATTATAATGTCGCCTTAATATTTTTATAAACATGAACGAATTATTCTATTTGTTAAAATTTACTATCATCCATATGATATTGTTTTCTATTTAATGTCTTTTGTAATCTTTAGTAAAACATCATTATTCTGAACTTAAATCTGAAAGTAATAGGTGATTTCAAATCTGAACTCAATCGGAAATTCACATTCAGTAAATTTATTTTCCTTACAGAGAACATTCCCAGTCTTATCTATTAGATTATCAGAAAAGTTGTGACACATTTTTGTATAGAAAAAAAAAAGTAATGACTTTTTCTGATAACCCATTATATAGCAAATTATGCGTTGATTATCACTTGTTGTTAAAGAGTATCTGACTCATCTCTCTATGAGAGTTCATGAACTCTTAGGGAATTATTGGCCATGAATCTATTCCTTAGTTTATATCCATAACATTTCTAAAAACTGTTTCTAAAAGGTAGAAGTTGGTATATGTTGGTCCAAAATTCTGGATTATACTCTTGATTTGAGTTGTTTTAAAACTCATCATTTTCCTTTCATTAGAAAACAGGGCTTCTACTCATTGTAACTTCAGACTTTTATTGCAAATCGTACCTCAGCACGTTTATGAGTTCTAGAAGAGTTAAACTTCGGGCAGCTGTCTACGTCATTGCCAGCTCTGCCTCATCAATATCTTCTCCCCTTTTCTCAGAGTTCTGACTACCTACACTGAGTGACCTGAGTTCGACTAGTGCAGTTGCTTGACAACACAAGATCCTTCAGAACGTCATTTGAAATTCTCATTTCTGCTGCTTTTTCTTTCTTCCTTAAGTTTGCCAGAGGGTGAGTGCACTTGCCAGAGAGAGAGAGATGAGAGAGAGAGAAAGTGAGAAAGCACCCCCCTTAGGGGTTGGTCAGGCTACAACCCCTTCCCCATCCTATTTCTTTTGGGGATCTTGGGCATGCATGCTCATGGGCCTGGGGTTTTGTTTGTTTGTTTGTGTCTGGTGTGTTTATTCAAGCCACTGGATCTGGGACTCAAATAGTGCCAGACCAGTTGGCCATGGAATCCAGTAACCATAATCACCATTCCATGAGCTAGTCCCTCATTTTTTCTACCTGAATGAAACTGTCTTCTTTCATATAACTGTGATCTAAATATGACAGAAATGAAGACTTAAATTTAGTCTACCATTTAGTAACAAAGGAGGATAAAAGTCAAATTTATAGTTGATATTTATAAATAATGATTAGGAATTTTTTATAATATCCACAAATGTATCTACTTTTTAAAATTTATTTTCCAAAGCATATTAAAGATAGAGTACTTTATTAGGAAATAAATTAAGCATCCCAATTTATAAAAACGCAATAGTATTCTATTGGTAAATGAGCAAATTTTAGGTATTTTATTTAAATAGGAAATTCTAAGAAAGACATGATATCTGGTTTAACTTAATAAGTGGTTTATTTTATAATGTAATCTTAAATTGGGTCTGCATAAATTTATTTGGTAATGATATCAACTTTGTTAGTTAAAAGAGGTTGATTTTTGATATTTTATAAGTTCTCTATTGACCTAGTTATTTCATACAGTGTTATATATTTACTAATCATATGTGATGGGGGGCAAAGACCAGTGTTACATAATAAAATTAATTATATGCCATGTTTTCTAAACTTACTGTTACAGGAAAATAAAAAAAGAGGGCCCACCTATAGTGTGGTGGCTGGTGCAGTTGGAACCCCCATGGTCAACTGTGCA